TACAACACTGAGTCACGTATTCTAATGTACAAAGTTTGTGCTCGACCTCTTCTAGAACATTGCACGTTTATTCTTAGCAGTGCGCGCTTAAAGGATAAATTAAGGCTGGAATCAGTACAGAGATGATTTACACTTCGTATTCTTGGAGCTGATTGTATCTTAACTTCTAGATTTAAAAATTTGGGCTAGACCCTTTATGGAAAGGAGACTCAAACTAAATCTTATCTTTTTCTTCAAACTACTTAATAAACTATCGTTTACATTCAATGCAGAAACTTCTCATTATGACATCCGTAATTCCTTGGCACTAGTGAAACAAACTTATTCTAATCATCTCTTTATATGAATCACTTTTACCTGTAAATGTTTTAGACTTTAGAATAACCTACCACAAACTATTCGTGCGATAAAATCATTCCCATTATTTGATCACCGCATCGATGCATACTGCTCCTCTGAAAATGCATTGAATGTTCTAGCACCTGCAAGTGTATCTCATTCCACAAGTGATATTAAAGGAACTTTTAATGCTTAGCCATCTCTATTAGTACATTACCTAAGTAAAACCACTTACCTGCTGTCACTTCATGTTAACACCGTCCCTAGAAAGTTTAATTAATTTGAATAACATCAACAGTATATCACTGAGTCACATGACACACTCATTTAGGTAGACCTGATTCATATATTTCGGTAATTACTGCTTTGTTTTTCCGTGCTCTGTGGTTTTGTTTTACTTTCTCTAGTTGTAGATAATTATCATTAACCTGATCTGGCATACGAAATGACTTTAATTACTCCGTTCATAAATCAACGGGCTGTGTCCATTTAGGAAAAATTAAAAGTTCTAAGCTGATGCATCGCATCGCTGTAATACATGTACTATTTAAACAACTACTGAACTAGTATACTTAAAACTTTCTTCTATCACATGTTTGTTCTGTACATCTAATTTTACTATTTCTAGCAAATTGATCATGCCTGTTAACTGGCGTGAATTCTGTAATTGTTATTTTCAGAATATAAAATTATTATTCTTAATATTAAACCACTATTGAAAACCTGAAAGCACTGAATGGCTGTTTCGATCTAATATAGGACTCTTCAGGAGTGCACATTCATAATCTCGAACACTGAACTTAAACTCAAGACTTTCGATCTCGTGCAAACTCTTAACCTCTAGACCATTGAACCGGCATCCAACCGTGTTAATGTTTAACTTCGATCCATCTAAATTCTTTGTTGCGATTAGAAGCAAGGATCCTATGAAAGTCGTTAACCAACTCTTGAATTTTCAATATGAATTTATCAAAAGTAGTATTAAACCAAATATAAAAAGGTTATGTAGGTAAATGCTTCACAGTTGATACAATTGAACTCAAGTTGTCTATGCTTTACATATATACACTAAACCTAGTAAAATTGTTTTATAAAAACAAAATAACACTATAGTTGATACATTTCAGTATCGATTATATTATTCTGGAGTTGGAATGAACTGATTCCTTTGTACTTTTTGAATGCTTGATCTCGAATACCAAATACAGTACATTCGTTTGTGGTAATCTAGTACTTCTTGATCCTATTACGTTATTTCTGGGATTCTTGGTTCGTAATATAGTTCAAATAATTCTAATTATCAAATTGGCGTCGCCATAGAGCCTGTGATGGAACGGTTGAACACACATTCAGATTTTGATGCTTTTGAGGATTACTTTGATGGGTTCGAACCGTGGGCTATGACCAAGGACGATGATGAAGATATTAATATTGTAGCACATTTCCTCACATTCACCAGAAAAGAACCATATAGCTTATTAAAAACTTTGGCCTTACCGGAAAAGCCCATTTCGCTTCCTCATACAGCTCTCAAGGATCTACTGCTAGACTATGTTCAGTATACAAATTTTGAATGTCGTAGAGGAGGAAGATTTCATAAAATGATTCATGAGGATATAACAAACTCCACTGCATTACGTCATCCCAACCCAGTGTATACTCAAGGTTATGCAGATAATTCATTGAGGAGTTGCGATGCAGTTCACGAAGATGGGCAAAAGTTTGGTCAATGTTTGTCTTGTGGCAGGTTCCACTTTTTCAATTCGTGTAAATTCGTGATTCTAAGTGCTTTAAATGTAGTGATATTTGACATATTCAGTCAGTTTGTAATACTACTGTTCATCTTGCTGCAACTAATATTAAATCTTTTAATTCTGATTCTATTAAGTTGACTATTTATAATCATCATTTATCTTTATCAACGATTTCAGAAGATAGTGTAGAGTCATATAGCAGTTCACAGTTAAATGAAACTCAGAATTCTTGAGAGACAACAGTTTCTAATCAATCGACATATCAGATTTCTCATATTATTATACCAGATATGGCTTCTCCTAAAGATCCACTTATTTCTGACGAAATTCTTTGCAAATCTGAGGAAAATATGTTGAATGAACCTAGTCATGATCGAAAACTTGATGTAGTTTTGATGGATGCTGATTTTTCTAATGATCCTTTACTCTGCAATGACATTCCTAATAAATTTGAGGAAACTATTTCAGAACAATCAAATCGTGATGTTCTACCAAATATTTGTCCTCACAGTGCATTTGTTTCTTGTGGGAAACTTGTTCAGTGCGAAGCACAAGTACTAAGGAGCTCCAGTTTGATTACAATTCTGATGATTTCATATCAACTGCTGTTTATCCTTATCATGAAGTCACTTCTCATGTATACTCTAATCAATTTGAGAAATATGTTTTAAATGAAGCCACATCATTCATGACTTGGGGATATAAAGATCCAACATTATTTCGTGGGAGGAGGATAGTGTTGGGAAATCTGTGCTTTAAATCCTAGATAGTGGTTTCGGTACACAACCGACACGGCGATTGTATACAATCCCAGGAACCAAGTGAGTCTGTTCCGATTTCGATTTTTAATTCCAATACTAATGAGCACATTCTAGATAATACATAATCCTTATCCAATAAACTGTCCGACAGACACAGGATGAACTTGAGAAGAAAACGCACATTTGATTACAGACACTTAGACTCCAATTTAAGCTGTGGCGGATGTGATGTTTGAATGAACTAATGATTCCATTGTACTTGTTAAATGCTTAATTTCGAATTCTAAATATAATACATTTGTTCGTGTTTGTCTAGTACTTCTTGATCTGATTGTATTATTTCTGAGATTCATAGTTTATACTATCATTCAAATACTTCTAATTATCATAATTATCTATAGAAATGTAATACACAAAAATAAATTAAAACATACATATCTATGCATAGATGATCACTTACTACAAGACTATAAAAGAATGGATGTATCACAATTCCAAAACCAGTAAATATAATCAATATCAATTGATGTATTAATTGATAATGTAATTGATTTATATTTGAAATATTGAAATGAAATAATGACAATTGATGATGAATAGATTTTAATAATTTATAACCAATTAAGAATGGATTATTATTATAATTATTACTGTTCCACCTTAATAATGATAATTGTATAAATGAGAATGTTTTTTTCGGATGAAACAATATTGTTTTCTTTTTATTATTTATATAGTTTAAATATATTTGCCAATTTATTTCATTTGTATTCATTTGATTAGAAAATAAACAATTTTTATAATTTTTTATAAGAGAATATTGTTTATATATAATGAATAGATTGGTAAATCTGAAAATGAACTAAAAATGTTAAAAAATAGAAATCAAATGTAATATGTTATCGAAAGGAGTTTTGTGAAGATTATAGAAAGTTCAATAATTGAAATCATGAGTCAATTGAAACTAGATCATCATTGTGTACGGTGGTGGAATTTCGTGGATTGGTTGAAGATACACTTTAACATTGTTGGATGCCGGCTGGCTCAGTGGTCTTATGGTTAATCGCTCGCGCACGAGACTGACAGGTTCTGGGTTCGAATCTCGTGGGAGGCGGGATCATGGATGCGTACTGCTGAGGAGTCCCATACTAGGACGAAATGGTTGTCCAGTGCTTCCAGGTTTTCCATGGTGGTCTAGCTTCAATTGAATCATGATTTCAACTGTCGATATGTAGAGTAGTTAAGTAAAATGGAAATAATAATATCCGATTGTTATTAAATTTAAAACAATTAGTCCTTTCGATAAATTTTAATAATGCAATGAGAAGACGAAGTTTATTGGAATGATGTGATGATATATTTGTGCAATACCTTTCGAAAAATCTAATCACACATAATGTACTTGTTGAGACATTTTTATATTAGTCATTGAGATCTTAAACCGACTAATGTTAGACCACCATTCAAAACCTGGAAGCACTGGACGGCCAACTCAACAGTAGTACTCATCCACGATCCCGCTCGCGGAATCCGAACCCAGGGCCTTCAGTCTCACGAGCGAACGCTTAACCTACTGGACCACTGAGCCGGTTGGCATCCAGTGGTGTTTATGTCTAACGTCAACCAATCCACGAAGTTGCGCAACCATCTTCAATTGTACTGAAGTAGATACCTGTCTCTACCCGACACGGATTAGCTCCACTGATCACGGTTTCTCACTAGAACTCCAAGAATTTCCTCACGGATTTAGTCACTAATGAACACATGGTAATCATCAGTAGAGGGTTGCAGAGATTATTACACAAAAACAATGTGATTACCACTCTGGATAATAAATCACATTTACTAAAGCAGGTTAACGGTAAGGACAAACTGTTTTTGAACGCATAAAGGGGGTTTCACTTTCCGTATTGCCAAGGCTTCAATAAACCTTAGTATACATCCTCGAAGGCTTTTGTACAACACTCCAAATGCTGACTTAATATCAAACTTATGACCAGTCTCAATCAAATGTTTCGCTATGTAGGTGATGTCTCTGATCTTATTGGACTGTTGGAATCCATTTGTTTTCGCAACCATTTTGGCATGTGTTATTAAATTGTATATTCATTTATTATGACGTAATTTGTAGGAAGGGGGTAACTTTTATTATGAGATACATTGATTTGATTAATAGAATTCACTGTAATTATTTGAACTTATCACTGTAGGATTTGTTTACAGATTTATGGCAATTTGCCAGTCAATGTTAAACTATATTGTCTTTTTTAAAAATAAAACAATTCTTTTTATTATTTGGTATCCAGATGACAACTGATTATGTATTCATGATTTAATTGATAGTTTAATTGATGTTTATCTCTCAAAAAATATGATATAATTATGTAGATATTGAGGCGATTACAATTATGTTTAGAATATCAGTATACTAATAAAATAATTTTAGCAACAGACTACTGTAGAAGAGAACAAACTAGTTTCTAGCTGAATAAGAATTTAGGAAAAGACAATGGAAATGGATAGGATATACATTACGAAAATCATCAAAATGCGTCACGATGCAAATGCTACCTTAGAATCCTGAAGGGAAATGGAGAAAAGAAAGGCTGTTATATCTTGAAAAAGCTGATTTTCTTGATACAACCGCGTATAACTGAGCACTGGAACACCAAACCCTTCCAAGTCGCAATAAGAAGACAGAAGACTAACGAAAGGAATATTATTCCAAACAGTGTCAAACATAGTACAAAATTATCAGGTATTTATAGTTTTTAGTGGGAACGAAATCATCATTACAATCTTCCAATCCGCGTACAGGGGTTATTAGCATTATCCAATGGGGAAGCTACACGTTGGAATTCTAGAACATTCTTCCGACAGGTGATTGGATGGAACGTCTTCGGCTCCTTATGAGCCTCTTACAGCTTCCTCGAGTTCACCGGTGGTCCGTCGTCACACCTCCCCCCTTTAAAGTCCGTTGTGTAAGATTTTTTTCTTGGATCCACCTGAAGCTTGGGTGTCGCATTCCTCTTGCGCTCCATTACTCTCGAGGGTTGTACAGCTTTCTCTCTGCGTCGTTTGTCTTTTCGATATTTGCGCTCATGATGGTTCTTCGGGGATGAATCTACGAGCAATTGAAATGGAAGCCGGTTTTCTGTGACCACTGTACTATCATTTCTTTGCATTTGATTTATATGTCTTATGCATTTCCCGACATCTTTCCGGACTAGGTACAACACATTTCCGATTCGACGTTCTATGACACCTGGTTCCCACTTCTTATTACCTTGGTACGATCTGACAAGTACCTTCTCACCCACCTGGAAGCTACGATTGACCTTACGATTTTCATTCGTGGGTTTATTTGTCTTTCTGGGCGGCAACATACTGTTAAAAACTGTCCGGATTTTTCTTCCGAACATACACTCGGCCGGAGACTTTCCTTCTGGTACTGCCGGATTAGGGGTAACTCTGTAAGACATCAAGAACTTATTAATCACTTGTTCCGGGACACCCTCACCTCCCCCTTTGACCAGAGCTCTTTTAATTGTATCCACGAATCTTTCTGCCTGGCCATTCGACTGAGGATGGTATGGAGGAGATTGTAGATGCAATATGCCATTCTCGTTGCAGAAGCGTTTGAAGGCGGATGACATGAACTGAGTACCATTGTCGGTCACTAAGATCTCTGGAACCCCAAAACAGGCAAACAATCCTGACAATCTTCTTATGGTACTCTCTGAAGTCGTATTCGGCATGTCATAAACTTCCGGCCATTTTGTGAAAGCATCTACAACAACTAAGTAATTCCTGCCTTGTATCGGTCCGGCGAAATCAGCATGTATTCTTTGCCAAGGCCCGTCCGGTTTAGGCCATGGTTGTGGCTCAGCTCTCGTTGGGTTCTTTGCAGCCTCTTGACAAGACCAACAGCTGCGACATTTTTGCTCTATCTCATGGTCCATTGACGGCCAGTAAGCATAGCTACGAGCTAGTGACTTCATTTTACTTATCCCTGGATGCCCGCTGTGGAACTGTTTAATGGCTTGGTGTCGAAGATTTCTGGGGATAACGATACGATGGCCAAACATTATACATGAATCGACAACTGTTAATGACTCTCGTCGACGAAAGTATTGTAAGAGTTCTCCGTGTAATCTAGATGAAGGCCATTTATTGAGTATGCAATGGCGAACAATCTTTAATACATTATCCTTCTTGCTGGCCTCTTTAATGGCTTCAAATGTGACCGGGAGTCCGGAAACTGCGTCTGACAATATTTTGTGAACCTCGGCCTCGACATCTATAGCAGCTACAAGCACCTCTTCTTCTTGTTTTTCATGCAGACCAATCAATCTTGAGAGTGCATCTGCCTGTCCGAAATCCGTTGTTGGTTGATACTTTATCTTAAAATCATAACCCAGCAGTGTGGTAGCCCATCTCTGTAGCCGGTTTGCTGTATATACCGGGATGCCTTTTTTAGATCCAAAAACTGTCAGTAAAGGTTTATGGTCTGTAAGTAAGGTGAACTGCCTACCAAACAACATCTTGTGGAACTTTTTTACAGCAAATATAATCGCGAGGGCTTCCTTCTCTATTTGACTGTAGTTTCTTTCAGTCATAGTCAGTGATCTCGCAGCGTGAGCGATTGCTTTCTCAGAACCGTCAGGGTAGGCATGTGAAATTACTGCTCCAATTCCGTAGTTCGACGCATCGGCTGCGACTATAATTGGAAGATCGGGATCATAGTGTGTAAGGAGAAGGTTCGATGACAGAAGCTGCTTCAGTTTTAGGAATGCTTCTTGACATTCAGTTGACCAGAACCATTTAGTATCCTTTTTCAATAAGCAATTAAGAGGAGCACGATGGCGATGCAGATCTGGCAGAAAAACTCCATAATGACTAACCATTCCCAGGAAAGAACGTAAAGTTGACACATCCGTGGGTGGAGGCATGGACTTAATGGCTTCGACATTTTCAGGATCAGGTTTTCTCCCGTTTTTATCAATTATGAATCCCAAATACCGGACTTGCTCCATGTAAAAATCACATTTTTCGGCACGCAGCCTGAATCCATAATCTGCTATGCGTCTGAGAACCGTATCCACCTTATTCTCTAAATCAGCATAGTCTGTACCCATGATCAATATATCATCGAGATAAGCCGCGGTACCAGGAATGTCTTGTAACATAGTGTCCATAACTTGTTGGAAGATTGAAGGGGCGGTCTTTACTCCAAAAGGAAGTCGGTTATATCGGAACAATCCCTTGTGAGTGTTTATTGTCAAGTAATGCTTACACTCATCCGCTACCGGAATCTGTAGATAAGCGTCTGATAGGTCTAATTTCGCAAAATACTTACCCCCATTCAGTTTCGCAAATAAATCCTCTGGTACCGGCAATGGGTATTGATGGGCTTCAAGCGCTTCATTTAATCCAGTTGAATAATCTGCACATAACCGGATACTTCCATTAGGCTTTTTAACAATCACTATTGGAGCTGCCCAATCAGAGAAGTTTACTGGTTCGATTATTCCACTTCTTTGCAGACGCTCTAATTCTTGTTCAACAATAGGTAGCGCTGCATAAGGTACCGGACGTTTTGGTCTGAAGACGGGGGTGACTCCCGGTTTAAGAATCAATAGTGCTTTAACCTTTTTGCATTCCCCCAACTCTTCCATAAACACTTGACTGTGTCTTTCCAATACAACACTCTTCAGATCCTTTTCCACCGGTTTACTGGTTCTCACTGCGCTGCATATGTGGTTAATGGGGTGA